TTAGGTAAGCCGGTTTTAGGCATAGATATGGGAGAAGTCGACCAAGGATAGAGAAAGTCGTTAGTGGAAGAAGACCAAGTGTTCTGCTTGGAGAACCTGCAGTCGATTTTTTTAGTGGTTTCAATAAGGATTACGAGGAAGCTGCAACATGAGCGTATCGAATTTGAAAGCAAGACTCTTAAGGATTTTTCATGGTTACGATGCAATGAAGGGGTTGGTCAGAACGTGAGTTCATGGTGAGTTGCTATCTGATTCATGTTTTCAGGGATATATATATGGTTCTCGCATCAGAAGCTTCTAGGAAAAGATATTGTTACAGCTGGTTGTCCCTGCTATAACAATAAAGATAGAGGTCGGAAGTGCTAGTGTTGCTCATGACTGGATGTAAGATGTAGGGTTGGTTAGCCCGATTGGATCGATTGCTATGGTAGTATGGTAGGAACTGTCGTGAGCTATCTACTTTGGGTGTGGGAGGTACAATTTTGTGTGGGTTGTTTAGTTGTTGGATTGTTCAAAGCCGCTCGACGATTTTAAAGTTGTGTTAGTGGAAGATACTTGGAGATTTCGAGTTTTTGTTGAATTATTGGGGTGTGTTCATCTGGATTTTTTTGGATATATGTATGTTAGGTCATCTAGTCACATAATCTTTGTCCTTACAAGATCAGGTTGGTAGCAGTTTTGAGTAGTGAAATTGTAGATGGATTGGAGACTAGAATGGGTACGAGGTTGATAGAGTATAGATGATTCCAAGTTGGAGACAATCACTTGGGGTTAATGGAATTATTCCTAATACGGGTCAACATAGAATGACATGCCAAGAGCAAGTGGATAGCTAGTTATGATCATGGAATGAATGGAATTTATACAAGTGATAATGACAGTGGCGCCTGTCGGAATCATACTTAGGTTCAAGTTGAGGGTTGTGTTAGAACCACTCCGCCTGTTCTTGTCTGCTAAAGGCCTTGGTTTCGAAGCACGACCCAAACACCTAAGTAGGGTTTAGTAGGATGGGGTTTTTGGCTCGTAATCAGCAAGACCATGGACTGGGTGCATGGCAGTTGTGGAAAGTATTGTAAGACTGCGGGGTAGCCACAACATTCACTAGACTGGTATGCAGTTGTGGAAGTGTTGTAAAACTTCAGGGTAGTCGTAGCATTAAGTAGACTGGTAGGCATTTGTGCAAGTGTTGTAAGACTGCGGGGTAGCCTTACATTCATTAGACGGATAGGCAGTGTGCAAGTGTTATAAGACTGTGGGGTAGGCGTAGCATTCACTAGGTTCATCGGTAGTTGTGGAAGTGATGTAAGTCTATGATTTGGGTAGTAGAATCCACTTGGATGAGTTAGACCATCATAAGAGTAGTTGTTAAACTGTGGTGGAACACAATGCTAGCATGGGTTGAATCAGACGATTATTGTTGGTTGGCCGCTCCTTGTGGGAACGGGGGTTGTTAGAATTGTGACTGTGTTTTAGGCTTGTATAAGACCTGTGGGCGAGGCCCGTTTGGTTATGTTAATATGGATGAGATCTGTGGGTGAGGCCTGTTTTGGTTATGTTATCTTGGGTGAGCAGACAATCCATACATTCAAAATATGCTCAAGGCATGAGGTGTTGGTTGTAAGTCTCCAGACCGGAGTTGGAGTGATGGAAAGATAATTATGACCTGCAATCTTAAGTGTTCTAGCAGATTAGTTGGTACGACAGTGTATCATGAAGCAGTAAGTGCGTGACTCATAAGGGTGGGACCTTATAGTATCTGGCGTAGTTGAGGTGTTAGATCACGTTTAAACTAGGAAACTTTATGATCAACAGATTGGATCCATGAGGTAAGTAGGCTAGGGTAGCCTATATTAATTAGACTCTTGGGAAAAGTCTCGTTATGCGATCATGAATAAGATTGACAACCTCAGTGGAAGGTTAGAGATTCTGTATCCCAGTTTAGTAGAAGGTCCGCATGGAATCAGGCGACCTTTGATAAATCGAATATGCAAATCGTTAGTTATCAGGATGCCAGTTATATATTGGTTTGGCACCTATAGGTGAGACTCGCGTTGGTATTCGCCTTTGTTTTTTAGTGAAGGGTTTAAGCAACATTGAATGGCTAGGGATTCTATTTTCCAGTTATCAGCTAGATAATTTAGGGTCATAAGGGTTTCATTCGGTTCGGGTTGCGAATTGGTGTCTTTATGGAGGTGGGATGAGATGATTTTTTCTATTGGTAAGTCAGACATTGTTTACGGTTTTTAGTTTTTGGACAAACTAGTTAGGTTTTCTTTTGTTGGCTGAGGACAAAATGACCAGGTGCATTTCTCTGTCAGGATAAGTGATTTCTGCTAAGAATGGGCTTTGATAGCAGTATTGGAAGATAGTTGGCTGTAAGAGATGACTTTTTAGTCTAAATAGGAGCTCATGATGTCTAGGAGGGTTGACTGGCATGGCAGAGGGATTACTAGGGAATAATTTCATGGACGAAATCTAATTTAAGTAGGGGAAATCTAATTCAAGGAGTCAAAAGGTTGATTTTTGGAGAAAATCGAGTGTCACAACGTGACCATTGGGTGGTCACGACGTGACAAGGGAAAAATACGACAAACCCATTTCAGACCATCGTCATGATGTGAGACGCAAGGTATCACGATGTGAAACCTGCCGCAACCAAAGCCCTTGATCTTTTTGGGTTCCCTTTGTATTTAAGTCACTCTAAGTCATTTTTAGGGTTCATTACAGCCTCTAACACCCTTCTACCTCAGAAAAACCCTAACCCTAATTTTCTTGGTCATTCTTGGCTTTCTAGAGCATTCGTTGGCTTGAAGAAGAAGAGGAGAAGGAGAAGAAGGTATTTAATTGGTGGAGCTTGCAAGGAAACAACATCATCATCATTTCATATTTCTTTTGGACCTTTGTAAGTGTCAAAGGCTTAAACTTTATGGCTTAAAATGGTTAGATCTAAGTTGTCGTCCCATGTATTTCATGTTTGAGAAAGTTTGAATGAAAAGAAATCACAAAGTTGACAGCTTTATGCATTCTAAGTGTCCCTTGATTATGATAATGTTTAGGTCTAGGAGTTGGTTGATTATTGGGTCCAAGTATGAGAATTTTTGTATAATCTCTTCATTTTGACCTAGCATGGATGGAGGACATGCATGAGTCATGTATGTCCATCAAGTAATTATTTTTATGGACCTTTGGAGTCCCTTGTAGATTATGGAAAAGTTAGAGTGAAAGACTTAATGGATTAAGGACTTAAATCATTGAATTTATGCTTCAGACTTTAGCTACGACATGACATAAGGTGTGTCATGACGTGACCATGAAAGATCCCGTTTCTGCTAGTTTAGTGAGACTCACGACGTGACACAGGGATGTTCACGTCGTGAGGTAAGCCCTAAGGTTTATCCGAGACTGAGCTGGCTGAGTTAGAGGGAGTCGAGTTGGAATCAGGTCGAGTGTGCTCTCAAGACAAGACGAAGGGCTGGTTACGACGTGTGGATCATGGGTTCACATTATGGGCTATTGAATTTGACTTTGACCGTTGACTTTTAGCATGGGTTGGCTTTTTGGTCAACTTTCTATTTTTCAGAAGGAGGACTTAGGATTTATCTTGTTTGGATTGTAGGATGTGTTTAGCTCCCATCTTTTGGTGGTGAGAGCTTTTAGTTGTGGTCAACGTGGTATTGAGCTGAGTTTTAGTCAGCTTGTGAGTTAGGTGAGTCTATACAGTATTCTCGTAGGTCGAAGGTACCAATGTCGGCCCACAGGATTATGTATGTCGGATGCTAGCAATCTTTGCGACTCTTTTCGGTATAATTGTATGCTTATGTATAAGGGGTGAAATAGACCAGGGGGTCAAATAGACCTGTTTATTACGTAGTTGATGTCTTTGTGATGGTTGCTGATACGCCTGTATGTTATTTGTATTTTGGGTGAAATAGAACGGGGGTTGAAAGAGACTCGTTTGGCTGAAAAATATCGATTGAGTTGAAATAGACTCAAGGGTGAAATAGACCCGAGGGTGAAATAGACATGTATGGTTGAAAAATATCGATTGAGTTTAAGTAGACCTGGGGGTGAACGTATAGCTTAGAGATGATATGTATGTATGGTGTGGGAAATTTTGGAGAACTCACTAAACTGTGTGCTTACGGTTTTATGTTTATGATTTCAAGTACTTCCAGTTCCAAAGGGAAGGGACCGGCATGACTGCACAACATCCTCCAGAGTTTTCCGCATTGGGTATTTGTGATTTTTACTCTGATGTTTATATGATGTATTCACTTTGATTGCTTTTTGAACAACTCATTGTATGGTTTATTATTGTAAAAATGAACATTTTACTATGAATATTTAGTATGCTACACTTTTCCTTTATCTTCTCCACCATCTTTTGATGAGCCACCCCTTATCTCCCTGCGTGAGACGTTCGCAGACGGACGTGGAGCATTGGTGGGTAATCGAAGCACCAAAGCAAGGATAGGAGTAAGCTTAGTTTTAAAACATGAGTCGAGTGACGAATCCACAAAAGAGATTTGCTCTTGAGAGATCGAAGTAGTTGATGGAAAATCCAACTTCGATAATCTTTCTTGATAACCAGTAAGCGAGTGCCTGATTTTTGTAAAACCTTTTCCATTAGATTCCTTCTTAAGCTTCAAATCGCCATCATATTCCTTATCGAAGGCACTAAGATCTTCAATCAAGGTTCGAGTTTCACCTATAAGAACATCAACCTTATCCTTAAAACCCACACAAAGCTTGTCTAACTTCTTCCCTTATTTTGAAAACGAATAAATAAAATCCTTGAGCTTCGATTAAATGTACTCTTTCGAAGAGTTCACAAGCTTCTAAAAAATTTCATGTCGCACACGAGCAACATTCTGTAATTCCTTGACTTCATGTTTGTAAGAACTATATTGAGTAGCAAGACGTTCTTCCAAACTTGTAACATCATTATCAATCAAAGTCCTTAACCATGAATCTTGGGACTTTAATAGAAACTCAACCTCTTAACTACTCACAGAGGATTTTCCAGCATTATTATTCCAAAATTGAAGAATGGTGTTGAGTTTAGAGTTAAGGATTTTGTATTGCTTGCCTGACTTATTTGCATTATCATCAACATTTTCTTCTGCATGATCAAACTCTAGCACATCAAACTGAACCATTTCATCATCTTCTTCTTCGTTATATGGCATCTCTTCATCTTCTGATTGAGAAGAGAATAAAGAAGCGATACGCTCATTGATGATACCTTGAAATGTAGGAGAAACAGCAGGAACGGTTGTTGGTGTAATAGTTGAAGTTGGTAGTGGTGACGAAGGTGGTGGTGGTGGAACAGTTGAATTATCGATAACAGATGTTGAGTTCTCTTCACCTATAGTAACATTTGGGTCCTTATTAGATAAGTTCTGAGTGATCTTTGAAGACCTACCCTCCTCCATATTGGACATGAAAATAAGACCTTCGGGTGGAGTTACAACAGTCTTCTTAGGAAGCCAAGTAATGATTGGTTCACCAGAATCGATGTTAGTATCCACATTAGATTCATTTATAGTGACATCATGATTGCTTGTCTCCTTGATATTCCATAATACAGTGGCATCCTTTCTTGGTGAAACATGGAATGCCTAATCATCAGTTCCAAAAGCTTCATTTTCTATCTCTTCACTATCGCGATCTACTTTAACAGTATTTAATATTGACATAGTTGTGGCAGAAGGGTCTTCAACGGTCTGAGCCCTAAGCTTCTAAAATTGTTTCAACACACTAACAGCTTTACGTTTCCTGCTCTTTTGTACTTCTTCATCAGTAATATCTTTAATAACAACTCCTGAAGACTTAGACTACGTCTTTAACTTCTTAAAAAAAATCTTAGGAACATAAACCTCTTTAACAACCTATTTAATAACCTTAGCAGAAACAATTGGGACATCCTTCTTAGAACCACCTTGAATTTTCTTCTTAGAAACATCTATTGCTGCCTTCCCAAAACCACTTTTTACAAACTTTTGAGAAACAGTCTTTGAACAAACAGTCTTTGCAGAAACATCTTTATCAACAATAACTTTTGGATTCAATGTTAACTTCTTCTTGACAACATTAGATTCTTTAGAAGTTCCTTCTATGGCCTTAAATGTTACCTTCTTTCAAATAGAACTAGAAGAAGTAAGATATGTTGAAGCTTTGTATTGAATTAAAAACGAATTTGATTCAAACATAGACTTTGGCATTGCCTCAGGAATCCTTCCAATATCAGGAAAAACAACTGGATCATAAAGTGCAGACTTATGAATATGAAGATGTGAGAATCGATCAACCTCAACATCTTCAGGAACATGAATCCATTCTTGACTATAAGTTTCATGTAAAGTAAGAATCCAAATACAAGCACTGGATATTTAGATAGTCTTCTTCGAGTGCTTATCAAATGTCGTAAACTCATCGCACAATAGCGAAGCATAATCAACCTTCATCCCATAATATAACTCCGCCATAACAATATAAAATTGGAGTTTTGCCTTATCTACACCACAACTCCTTCCACTTAAACATCAAAGGGTAATTTAAAAGAAAAACTCCACACACTGGGAAGACTCGACTTCTTAAACCTACTAATTTGAGAAATAAGAGGATGATAACCTATTTCATTAAACATTTGAAGTACCTGTTCAGACATAGGAACTTCGAATGAACCCTCCGATGGTAGGTGAAGGATTTAGGAAAACTATTTATTATGTAATCTCCTGTTTCCTTTGGATTCCATCTGAAACGTAACTACTATAACCGTGTTATTATATACTGCTGTAGTAGTAGTAAGTCATAACCAGTTCATCGAAATGGAAAACGATGCAGTTGGAGCATGAGAAAGTATAGAATCATTCAGAAATTGAACAAACATCTTCAACTCTGCAAGATAATATTCAATCGACGTATTAAACCAAACATTGTTGGATTGAATGTTCATATTGGTTACTCTACTAAATGCGTGGAGAAGGTTTGCAAACACAATATTGAGTTAATATTTAATATCAATGCTTGCTAGTAATTAAGATCAGTAAAGTCTGGTCAAACCAGTCAAGACTAGAAATAAATAACTTAAAAAAAGTATTCAAAAAGATTAAATAAAGTAAATTATGAAAAAAAGAAAAGAAATCAAGAACAAGAAGAATTTATGAGAGATGATTGACAAAAATTTGAGATTGAAGTGAAGGATTCTTAGATGTACAAAAGTGGTGTGTAAGATATCTATTTCAGTACAAGGTTGAGACTCCTTTTATAGGTAAAGAAGTCAATACATGAAAAATACATAGAATAAAGAGAAGTTGCATCTGTAAACAAAATAGTGATAAATTGGATTTTCTCTAATTCTATGTAATACTAAAATGCATTAAACAAAAAGAACTTTCTTATTGTCAGGAAAAGTTGACTAAGTTCCAAATCCAAGGGATCTCACAACTAGTCATCTCAGAGTCTCCATCTCTGAATCTTTACTTTATGTTTGAAATAACATTCCATATCGGAATAAGGAATGATCTTGGATTCTTCTTATCTCGGATAAGAAACTGTCTTGGAATCGTCATCTTCATATTTGTTGATAAGTGATTTCATAATCACTTCTCCATCTCGGAATCGCTATGTCAACTCGGAATCATAACCATCTCGGAATGTATTCTTATCTCGGAATCTCTTCATAACTTGGATTGTATAAAGAACACTTTCATGTACTAACAATCTCCCCCTAAGTGTCCATAGCAATCATACTTCGATTATTCTAATTCAAGGAGATTCCATTGCCTTTTTCATTGGAAGGAGGAGCTGAAGGGATGGTAGATGAGATGACTTGTTGAATGATTGAAGTGATAAATAGCTCCGAGAGAGAAGAGATCAAAGGTTCCTCAATTAGGTCGTCCGGTTTTGTGGTTGTAGGAACATCGTCAATAGGTGGAATTTTTAGAGCATGAATAGGAGGAGGAGTTGGTTGAGAAGCTTGGAATGCATCATTCACTATCTTCAATTGAAGTTCAGCCTTTTCTCTGCTATGTTTAAATGAATCACAAAGATTTTATGGCCAACACATAGAGGACCGGTTTTTCGTTTTATCTTCCAAGAGGAGTTGTTTGTTTATTGCTTGAAGTATAAGAATTACATTCTCCACTTGATTGCTTTCATCACTTTCTTCTTCACTTTCATCTTCGGTTTCTACAAACATATATTTAGCTGCAACCTCTTTAACAAAACCGATATCATCATCATCAAATGTCTCATCTCATAGTTTGATTTCCAAGAAGGGTTTCCATAATTCTCCCTCTCTTGCATGAGAAGCCCCATCTTCGAATGCAAGAAATAACTTGGACTTGTGATCATCAAGTTTTTCAAATACCTATAGGAAGCTCTTATTGATTCTATTGGAGAGAGAATCGTATGCATCAACAGTTGGAGCTTGGACTTGAGGGTGTCAAGGGTTCCTTCTAAGACAAGGATCATTGTATCGAGATTTTACTTGGGAGTATCAAAAAAATGTTGAGCAGAACAAATTACTTTCATGAGAACTTCTTGCATGATTATATTAAAACAATCCTATTTTATCTCTTTCACGAACCTTTGAATTTTTTTCTCACGATGAACACGAGTCTGCTTGATGAGTTCATTTGTAGCAGAAATAATGTCACATTAATTTAAGCATCGTGTTGACAGTGGAGATGTGACGATCAAGATTATCTTTGTAGCGTTGCTTAGCATCTTCCAAGGTGCGACTCAAACAAAGAGAAATGATTTGATCTAATTGGTTGGCTCTGTCGATTTCTGAAGGAGGAGAATATTTGATCTCGGAAAGAGATTTGATCACCAAATCGAGCTTAGAGTCAAGCAATGCGACTTTGGAAGAGACAGTGTCGACTTTGGAATCGACTTTCTCAATGTTGTCTCTGTGTTCCAAGAGCGCGAATGGATCAGAAATATTTTCATTGGAGGAAGGGCTGAATAAATTTGTATTTACATTACCATCTTCAAAACCTTGAGAAGTATCAACACCTTGAGCTTGATTGTCTTCATCATCATCCTGAGTAAGAAGAGCAGCAACAGAGGAATTTTTATCTTCTAAAGACATCTCAGTTTCATTTGGAGGAGGAGAGTTGTTGCAAGGAGATTCTTCATCAATTCGAGTTAGTGAGCTTCGTTGCTGAAAGAGAGAAATTGAGCATCGCCTTCGGAGTCAGTTGCTAGTTTCGTTGTGAGTTTGCTACGAAGTGCTCTTGTTTGCATTTGGAGAATGGTGTACTCCACTTGATATGTAAGCTCATGATGTTTAAGTTGGGCTTTGTCAAGAAGTTTTTCCTAATCATTAGTAGTAAGACCTAAGCGTCCTTTATCCGTGGTGGACATCTGCTTAGTTGTGGCTTCCGAAGTTGGAGGGACAAATCCTAATTTATAATTCTTTGAACTTGTGGCAGGGGCCACAAATTCTGCTTGTGTTGAAGAAGAATGGGGGTTTAATAGGACTCGTGAGTGTGTTCAAGGGGGATTAAAGGAACTTTATTCAATACTAACACCAACCTTTTGAGAGGGTGAGGTTATATTATGTGGTGACTCCCCGTGAGTTTGTGCGAGTGATTTTGAAACTCCGATGGGTGCATCAGAAGAGTGGAAATGTGGGGTAGACAGCAACCCAGAGTTAGGTGCCGAACCGATATGTGAATCCTATGGAGAGGATTCACCGATTTTGCTCTCTTTTTAGCTTTGGATTTCAGAGCGGATCCTTTTCGTTTCGCAGTGATCTCAACTTCCTATGTCTATTCGCTTCCAAGGGATTCCCATTTGAGACATGGGGAGGATTTGGTGGGACATCCAAACCATTATCTCAAGATGAATCTTTTTATAAGGAGAATAATAGAAATAACATCTAGCATATGTTGAGGAAGACGTCTAACATGTCTAAAAGATAAGTGACTTGGTAACCTATAAGAATTATGTTGGATTAGGTGTCTAAACCCATAACTATTTTTGGTATGTACTTGATTTGATTATGAGCATGGTCCTTTTGGGTCGCCTTCACCATAGCAACTGATAGGATGAATTATGGAGAAAGAGGATTAATTATGATTTATTAATATATTATAAGAATAGTATATTGAGAAATAATATTATTTAATTAGTATTGATCAGAAATTAATTTAGAATTAATTTGGTGATCAAAAGAGAATGATTAAATTAACGGGGGCTGATTATGTAAATCGATAATGTTTATAGTTTGGGCTCATGGGCCTTATTGGTATAAGGTGGACGAAATCTCTACGAGAGTCCGGCTTGTCCAATGGGAGTCCATATGTTGCTTAGGACCAACAAGGAAGAACAAGAGAGAGAGGAGGGTTCCTTCTAAAGGCATAAGACGATTTTCGGAGCCATTGGGGTTCCTTTTATGGTTGAGGCTCCTAGGGTTATGAACTTGGAAACCCTAATTCCCTTGCTTAGAACATATGGACTCCCATTGGACAAGCCTTGGACGAAATCTTTATGGAATCTCATAGAGATTTCGTCCAAGGCTTGTCCAATGGGAGTCCATGTGTTTCAACAGTGGTATCAGAGCCTAGGCCGTTTTTCTATTGAATAGATGCAGAAAAGAACTACCAAAGATCAAGAAAATCGAAAATTCTGTTGTCTGACTAGCTGAGTCGCCGAGTCCATGTATGGACTCGACGAGTTGCATGAACTCGATGAGTTCCATAGTGGACTCGACGAGTTGGAGGGTCTGGTGCTGGGATTTTCGATTTTCTGGCCAGATTTTGATGAGGATTGCTACCAAAACTTATTTTTCTTGCCAAAATTCGATTTTTTATGATCGGTATGGATATCCTTATGAGATTTGGTGGATTTGGTTAAATATGGATGATATATGATTATTATGATTCAAATATTTGACCTAGTAAGTTTGAAAAGTTTCAATTTACACCCTTTAGGTTTTATAGTTTAAATTTGAACCTAAAAGTTTTAGTTTTTTGAAATTTAAATAGTTAAACTCTAATATTTTGAAAGTTTCAAAATTTGTCCTCAAGTTTTGGAATATAAAATTTAGTTAAAAGGTATTAATTTTGAAATATTAAATTCTAAAACCCTAGTGTTTTGAAAAGTTCAAATTACACCCTATGGTTTTATTTAATTAATTAAGTGTTTACTTAAAAGAGAATTAATAAATCCATTCAAGGAAATTGCCTATAAAATAACGATTGAATGGGTGTCCACTCTCACCCACCGCAATCTTGACTAGTAGAGGGTCGTTAGCCGAATGGGTAGGATAGGACACAACCTTCAATTATAAGTATAATGAAATACGAAGTAACTAAACCATTTTATAAATTCCCAAATCTTAGTTACTTTATAAAAAATGTGAATTTGGTGCTAATCCATGAAATTGCACATTGCACCTTGTTGGTCGTTAGTGGAGTGTTTGTGGTTAACCGGCACACTAATATGGGACTAACGAAGGATGGTTAGAGTGTGTGTGGTTAACCGACACATTGATTGGGTGGTATTTGACATCGAGAGTACCGAGCTAATTTGCATGGTTATTCACACCTTGTTTGTGATCCTCGGCATCCCAGTCACAAACTTGAAGGGCATAATCGAGATTAAACATGACATTGAAAAGTTCAATGAATCTCAAAAGATCTAGGAGTTTCAATTCATTTAAAACTTAATTTTCTTTTTCGGTTTTCATGGTAGAAATTGGTAAATCGTCATTTACCTACCTTCAAATATTCTGCAACTGGATTACGGCATCCCTCTTCCGAGTTGTAGAATATTGTGTTGGGTCCTAGCCTTAATATTTCGTTTGGGTGTTATATTAAGGATCCAATCAACTAACTTGAATTTCTCCCTTTTGTAGATGTCAAACTCTAACAATTATGGTCTTCCTGAACCCTTTGGAAAAAGCTTTCCACAAGAAGATGATCTTCCACGATTGGATCATGGAAATGGAAATCATGTTTCACTTCCTCCACCTCCTCCAATAATTCTCCCTGACCTACGTGTTCGAAGACTTTAAAAGTTCAAGGTCACTCAAGCCCTATTGGCAAGCAAACACGAAGATGGAAAATCTATATGTGCTCACGTCTTGGAGATGAAGTTGCATATTGACAAGTTGGGAATGTTGGGTGTCGATGTCTCAAGGAAGCTGGCTGTTGACTTGGTTCTTCAAATACTTCCTGACTCATATAGTGAGTTCATTAGAGAGTACTATATGATGGACCACGACGTGACCCTCATTGATCTTACCTATTTTCTTATTGCTGTTGAATCAACAATGATTTGGCGCACTGGTCAAGCAAATTTGGCTGGTAGATCAACCTCCCAAACTTCCATGGACATTGACAATGGCAACATTGGAAATCCAAAAAATTCTTCTCTTCCTAATGGAAAGGGATCGGCCAAGGTTAAACCGTTTGACCGGATGGTAAAGAGAAAGGTTGAATCTGAAATTGTCCCATGTGCTGTTCCAAAAGAGTCCATTTGTTTCTACTGCTAAAAGAAGGGGCATTGGTTACGAAGCTGTTGTACTTACCTGAGAGATCGCAAAGATGGGAGAGTCAAGATGAATGACTCTGATTCATGTAAAATCCACTATCTAACTCTATTAAGTTTCTTTTTGTAGATTCTTAATGCATGATGTGATAAGATTGCATTTTGATGTTTTGTAGGATCAAAGAAAAGAAAGGAAGCTTAAAGGAAGAAGCATGCTGAGTATGATTGCGAAGAAATGGATTTCGATCGCATGGTTCGGTGATCGGATTTTTGAGCTGCTACTTAGGAGTTATGATAGATTGCTTAGGAACATTTAGTAACATAGTTTTCATTTGTAATTGCATTGTAAGGACAAGTTTTTCCGCGTTTTCATGAATAAAATAAATTTTGTTTTTATCTTATTTATATTTCCTTGCAATGGCACTTGTGAAAATTGATGTTTGTATGTTTCTATGATTAGCAATATTGAAAATGGATGTGATTCTTTATTAAATTATTTGTGATAGTGTCGGAAATTTACTAAATAAGGAAAGATTCTCATCGCCCAAGTTTCAATTGGACAGAAACTTGGAATCATACAACTTGGTTTGTGTGATGAATGAGAACCTTCGAATTTGGAAAATTAAGACTAATTCCTTGATAAAGAGTCAAGTGAAGGATGAGAATATCTATTACACATTGTTGTGTCTTGGTCATGTCTACCACAAATAAAAATGAAGGCTATTCATCATGTTTTACTAAAGGTTTAGTAAATATGGTCATGCTTACAAGATTAGGTGTAATATTGAAACATTGGAAAAGTTTTAATGAATGGCAGAACGAATAAGAAGAATCAATTAGGTAGAGAGATAAAAAGTTTCCCCAATCTGAAAACAAGGGAGAGTACTTTTGTATCGTGTTTTATGATCATCTTAGTGATTATAGAACCATATCACAATTGATCCTCTACGAACACCTTAGTGCACTAGTATGGCTAAGAAGAGGAATCAGGAATTGTTGAAATGGTTAAATCAAAAAGTGAATCATACTTCGTTTCAAAATCGAGTCTCAGAGTTATACTCCCAGATTCTGACTTGAGTGACGCAATCTTAAGAATGTTTATAACACTCATCAAATGTAGAGTAGAAAAGTTTCTTACTCTTGTACATTTGAAATTGGTAAATTGTGATGTCTTGGATATGACAAAGACCAACTAAGACCAATTATGTGAAGTGTTTGTGTTGATAAGAATCTGCACTAACTCTTGAATATTTGTTTGTCAAGGAATGTTTCTTTACAAGAGAATCTTATATGTCAAGAGGTCAGTGGGAGTCCTAATGATCTTGAAAGGTTTCAAGAACTAATCAAGAGTAAACCTATTGTTAATCACTAGCACACAACTTGAGTTTTATAACCTATCGTGTTGACATATTCTTGTTTCTGTGCTATTCCAGTTAAGTTGGCTATGCATGTCAGTTATGTGAGTTCTCATTTGACTGCATATAGGGCAAAGCACCTTGATCAATGAAAGTATATTAATCTGTAAAGGTGAGCTGTTAAACAACTTGAATGACATGGTAGGCCCTTGTGCTGCCAAGTGGCAAGAAATTAAGA